TGGAGGAAAGATCTTAAATTTAAAAACAAATGCATGAAACTAAAGACAAAGGGATGAAACTTTAAAGAAAATACTGAGATAAAGCTCTGGACCTGCTCCTAGGCCAATCTGTTCAACATCATTGTTGAGATGTGGTGACTGTGAAGGTCGTAGTACACGATTCACATCATGTCACTACCTCGAACCATTCAGTGACCGCTCTGTGCTGTATGGAAACATCTATATCTGTTATATTTCTTCACTCATTAAATCAGGCTTTCCCCTGGCTGTATGTTCTGCTGCCCTCGTTGGTTATTTTCACCTCTGAACAAACTCAGCAGTGATGTCACGGGGTCCAAAAAACCTGACAGTGTCATAGGGCACCACATCAACACATGTTTGTTTGCAGTTCTATGAAAAGCATTAGTCTCTAAATTACCCAAATCCAGCTACTGAGGAGAGTACATCAGTATTGTATGTATCTGTAATATATGACAACTAAAGCTGCTTCCAACAGTCTTTAAAAGGTCTTTAACTTTCCAATTTAATGCAGTGGCTTTCTTGCTGTTCTTGTCTGATCTCTGGCGTGGTAATTGAGGTCATGTGTCTGACAATAGGAAACTCATATCACAACCTAGTGCAGGGAGGAAAGTGCTATTAATCACCCGGACAAGGCCTCATGCCCAAACACACATGTTCTCTCACACACACAGACACACACACTCTCTGACTGACCGCGGTTAATGAGCTACGTCTTCCCAAACATGGCAGTGTGTCTGTGTACATATATCTGTAAGTGTGTGTGTTGTTTTCAAGTCGCTGGGTCATTAGGAAACAACTGGTGTAAGTCTTCAATTAACTTTACGGACCGTGGCGTCACTATGTGCTTCTCTTCAGCCACTGAGCTCCGGTCTGCTGAGTTATAATTCATAGTCGATGCTCAACTGCCACAAAACACCACAGTCCCCGGGAAGTCTTTCACTGATTTTGTATTACAGGGCAAATCCACGCTGGAGGAGTGTTGTTTTAGAAAACTGTAAGATTTTATATTTATGAGAATTCATAAAGAGTGTCTGCAGCCCACACAGTAGTTGATTAGATGAATGAGACTTTCTCTTATAAGTATGAAATCCTATAACTCAGATATCTGCATTGCATAGAGATGGAGAGCTCAGACCTGCTACAATGGCACTAAATGAGGTATATACAAATTCCTCTGTTTACTGCAGTTTAAAGTATCCTATGAAGTTCTGGAAAAACAAACAGTCTCCATTCTTTTTAAAATCTGTTTCTATTTGATAAAAAACTATTAACCATATACATGAATAAGCTTTAAAACTGCTGGCAGCAGTGTCGCCCCAGGCACCTAAAATGCAGAAAATGATCAGCTCGGCTTCTCACTAAATATGGAAGGAGGCTGCAGCAGGGCACATCTTGCATTTGGAGCAAAGGGCGAGGACATGGATCATCAAACTCTCCTGTGAGCTCATTACTCCCTCCAAAAAGCCAGGACATTTCCAAGAGGCCAAGAGGAGATTAAGAAAGATGACTCTGATTTCGAGTTTTTTGCCGGTGGAATCTATTTCTTTTCCTAGAAACGGATGCTCCTTCCTGGACCAGGTTGAAACAGTTACCCACTCAAGATTGAATCATGTCAGATATTCGCAGCCCAACGTTATCGCCGCGCTCTCTGTCTGATGGGAAAAATAGATTCTGGGTAGATTTCGCACCAGTTCAGACAATCAGATTTTCAGTCCCACATGGACCAAATGGGATGTTTTTATTGTTGCTTCAACATGAGGACTGATAACAACAGCAGTGTAGGCTGAGGAAAATATGCTCCCTGTTACTGTTTACATCAAGAGCCAACACAAATCAGTGAAAGTGAAAACAGTGGTAGATGTAGTTGTAAGCAAATATAAATGATAATGACAATTCTATTTATATTTTCATTATAAAAAGTAATAGGGTTCTGTTGCGTTATATGAATTCAACGGTGCAGAACTTCTCTGGTTTTTTGGGGGGAAACTCTGTATAAGCCCCTTGGCTTCCTACCTTCCCAGTGCATATAAAGATACATATAAAAAAGATAAAGATGTATTAGACATGCAGTAAGAACTATTTTTGTGGGCATTTTTTTTGTTAGACATGTCTAGTACTTTGTGACAACTGTGGCAAAACAAGTATTTTCCCAGTCTATATTTTCTTAATTTGTAAAAACCCATTTAATCTGGTAATAAACATTCAGAGACGTTATCTGTTGCTGTGTTAAAAAACTGTCGTTAATTTCTAGTGGAACCTCCTTTGAAGAGGTTATCACTATCGGACTAAATATTAATTTATGCTGCATTTATTACTGGAAATTTAATCCCAAAATCCCCCAATTTGTGCACAAACACTTTTCCAAGTTCAGCTGCTACTCACATAATTAAAATCAGGTTAAGATAGCAATTAGCTATTTATAATTATTCAACTGGTGTACCAGTTGATTACTGTTTCTGTTTTCCCAAAAATTAGTAACAAATTACAAATTTCTTTCCAAAAAGCTTCAGAAAAAATTCTATCTACATATCAATTATTTTCTGGAAGGAACTATGGGACCTGTAAAATAAAATGTTGAAACTGTTCCTGATTTTATTTTTATATATATTTGTATACGTCAGTCGAGATGTGATAATATTGTTCATAATGCTGGTGACTTCAGCAGATCCCATCATTGTAGTGAAGTTATATTTTGTAGATGTAAACCCTCCATATACTCCTGAGGACGACAGAGAAGTTGTTGAAAAGTGCAGGTTCACTGACACTGATCTGAAGAAAAATCTTAAATTGCCTTGATCTCGCTTAAATTAGAGGAAAAACTTCACAGTTTGCAAAGAAAAAGCTGAAAAGAAGGAGCGCTGCATTTTTAAAAATTTTTTTTAATTGTGTTGAATCATTTAGCAACGTCTGCAACCGGTGTGTCAGACGCGGCTGAAAATGAAGAGTGATGCACTTTTCATGAGGGTGGGAAAACTCAGTCATCTAACGCCATCTGTCAGCGCAGAGGTAACTGGGAGGGAACAGCGCGGCGCAGCAGGGGGTGTCCTTGGACAAAGCAGGGGAAGGGAAGAAAAGTGGCCGAGGCGAAAAAAGGGAAACGGCTCCATACAGTTTGGAGCCACTGAGGTGAAATGGCGGGGAGAGACAGACTATTACTTATGTCTGCTGCGACTTACTGAGACAACAAGCTCTGGTAACAAGAAGATGGATGGCTGGCATTGCTGGCATTTTCAGTAATAACAAAAAAGCAAACGCATTGGTCCTTTGATTGTTCATTTAAATAGAAGTGCTTCAAGTGCTTCTGGAGAGCGCTTGCGGTTTAGTGTAATTGGTTGAGATAGAACAATGCTGATTATAGTGCGAAGCCACAAAGTGATCTACAACACACGCTCGCCTTCAGTGTGGGACTCAAACAGATGGTAAAAGCATTGTGGCATTACACAGTTTGTAATGTGTGTTACACAAATATTGTAGTCGACAAACAGATGCAACATGCCAGCGTTATTTGATCTTTCTAAATGAAACAGCTGTAGAGAGTATGGAGCTGTCATTTACATGGGTGAATCTTACAGTAAAGTTACATCTGCCAGTGCTGCCACTACACGTGATGATTCGAGGAAACTTTTACTTTGACACACGTCATTTAAAAAAAAGCATCTTCTTCCTGGTAACTAAGAGTATGAGCACCAGCTGAAACTGCATTTGAAATATTTATTTTGATCCTCCACTGAAGTAAAAGTAGATATACTACAGCGTGCAAATACTCAGTTACTAGTAGAAATCCTGTATTCAAAATCTTTCTTAAGTAAAATACAACGAAGTGTAGTCCAAGTATCAAAAATAAAAGTCCTCGTTACAGAAAAATCCCTGGATTTTTAATAGTAATCCATTAATGTGTTAACAACATGTGTAGCTCGTAACTGGTGGATGTGTTGATTTAAGTATTTATCAACTGTTAGGTAATGACATTATATTTTTGTAAAATAGTTTGTATGTAAAAAATACATATTTGTAAGTATAGCAGTCAGATGAATGTACAAGTGAAAATATAACACTATTTGACTGTGAAACGTAGTGAAGCAGAGGTACAATGTAGCATAAAGTAATAACACTCGCATTATGACCACTGTTCACAACAGACAGCTATGGCAGCAGTTGAGGACATTGCCATGACAAGAAAATCCCTCTGAAGTGGTTCCCTGGGTTGAAGAGGTCTGAGAACCAGTAACTTTGATAAATCTATATGTAGAGAGAAAATCTAAAACTGGCGTAATCAGATAATAAACAAAAGAACATAATAAGCAAAGTTTTAAATCTGACCAAACATATACCCGCTTTTGGTACATGACAGTTTTTGATAATTGAATATGGACTAAATAAAAAAAAACAAGTACTGAATTTAAATATATCCAGCCATTGTGATGACAAGTGCTTGTTTTTGTTGTTTGCATGGTTGATGGCGCCCACACAACCCACAACCCACAACCCAAGCCCCTACCAAAACATTCAAGAAAGGATGCTTCCATAAAAAGTGTAGAAAAAAATAAAAAGTGAAGGCTGAATCTGGGGCCTTGAGAGGATTTCTGAAAGACTGCTACCCTGGGAGCCCATTACATTTCTCTACAACAGGGTACAACTATAGAAAGAAAAAGCTTTGTTAAAAGAGACCCCATGTGATTTGTAAGTATTTCTTATAGGAAGCATTTACCCATGGTAACATAATATTCCAGTCCACCCCGACACACACGTTCAGCGTTACGAGCCCTAATGTATTTTGTAGCAATGATAGCTTATGAATCGACACCATCAGTGGGTGTATAAATAACTGCAGGAATTCTGAGAACTGTGTTCAAACATCCCACACAGTCACAAACACACATGTTCTCTTTGCCTTTGATGCTCAGGCCAATAAATACTGTTGATTCTTTTAGATTTTTAAACCCACTCACTGTGTGTGTGTGTGTGTGTGTGTGTCCTACCTTTGCTAATATCCTGGTACTCCAGCCACAGCTGTCTCTGGACCTGCTTGTTGGGGTACCAGATGGTACATGACTCCTGGAAACCGTACACTGCCTCCTGCACGTAGTGGTTCCCGAACTCCCTGAGGATGGACACAAAGTCACTCCGCTGCGTCGCCCCGTCCAGAGAATGGATGGCCGAGCTGAAGGCTGGGGAGATGGAGGGGAAAAAAAGGAATTGAATCCTTTCAGTTACAATAGAAACCTGAACGAGACCCATGAATAGAAAATGAAGCAGTGTTTGGTGTTATAGGTAAAATGTAGACATGTTTTTTTGTTTGCTCTTCCACTCCCCATTTCCCCCTACAGTCTAAAAATTCATCTTTTCAAGAGGTAGTTTTTTTTTTTGATTTGTCTTACAGGTAAGCCACACAAAGCTGCAGAGTCTCACAGGCTTTACGTGGATCACAGATAAAGTAGAGACACCGTCTTGGCACTAACTGAAGGAAATCCCTGCTACAACTTCTACTGCTGCTACTTCCACTGCACAGAATAATAAAGCATCCAACCACTGAACCAATCTATATTCCCACTGTACACATCACGATATGCATGCTGCATGTATGTAGAGACTGTACGTCACAGCTTTATTGTACCGCAACAGCTGCACAACTCCACATGGCTTTTGGCTTTTATATGATCAGTGTATATTCACAGGAATAGTAAAAAGGCTCATATATACTCTTATCTTCTTTTTCTTGTAATGTTAGTGCCCTGCTACATTTATTTCAGGTTACATTAAATGAGAAAAAAAATGATCATAAAACCTAAAATGTTAAGTGAAAATATGTTATGATGGGATGAGGTAATGGTTTGATCATTCTTAATGCTAATTTGATGGTAATACAACCAATGGATTAACATGATTATTTCAGCCACCTATTCCCCATCATTAACATCAGCATTATTATTTTTATTGACATGCTGCATGTTTTATGAACTGATAGTGATTAAAAAACAGCAGCAGCAGTCGGTGTCAGTACTAGTAAGCTGGAGCAGAACTCAGAATTTGCACGTAGGTTTATCAGATGTAAGCTGATAAGCTGCAGGTTGTAGCTTAGTTTGACAAATTAGCATTAGTTTAACGAGTTAGCTCTCTTAGTTTTACAGGTATTTGGCCATTAATGAAATCAAAATCTGATTTTGAAGTTAGATGAAAAACTAGAGCATCAGCAAAGTCATTTCAGTTCATCTCTTGGGTAACATGACTTTGTGAAACAAATTTCACAACAATCCATCCAATTACTTTTCAGACATTTCACTGAAAACCAGAAAAACCTTATAATGATGCTGGAGAAAATATGAGGTCATTACCATGGGATATTTCAGACTGAACCAAAGTGGTAGACTGTCAATTGTCTCTAGAGCCATGACACTGGTGTGGCTAAAACTTTTTGTATTCAGACAGACCAGAGTTTTTGAAAAGGTTTGTTTAAGTCAGTGGTGTGGAGTTTGAATAAAATGAGATATAAATATGAATTGATGAAGTAAAACTTTATAATATCAAGAACAATTAAACTGCTTCTAAAGACGTGATGCTAATGATAACTGATTCAGGATGCAGGTGTCTTGTTGCATAATAAAGACCTGCATCACTCTTTTAATCCAGGTTTGTCTCACTTTATTAACTGCATATAGGTAGTTGAAGTTACAGTGGGCCAAAGTGGCAGTTTCTGTCAGGCGTCTGCCACTAAGGTGTCTTAAACAGGTTTAGTGGACATCTGAGTCAGCTACTTACTATTCATGAACCTTTTCAACCACAGCGTGCTGATTATCCACGCTGTCAACACATGGATATGAACAAGCAAAGGCTCGAAAAAACAAAAACAAACTCTTACCACACTGTGATATAGTGTTGCTGTTAAACAGTTTGCGTGCAACAGTAGCTGAGCTCAGGTGCCTTTCTATATTTCTGAGGCTATTTCCTAATATCTGACGAAAACCTGATGTAGACAAAATTTGGTGTGAATAAATAAATTATGCAGCATGGGGGACTTCGGCACAAAATACAAGGCATTTTTGTTACAGCTTTGAGAATCTGCAGTTTCAAACAGAATAAAGAAACTTTCAAGTTTACACTCAGCTTCTTCATACTGCAACTCTGTCCTTATTTTAATGTCAGCACTTCTTTCCTGGTTCTATCCTCTCTATCACTTGTCTTTCACTCATGGCTAAGTGAATGTTGTGTTTTACATGGGTCACAAATGAATCATCAGCTAATAACTGAACCCACTAGCGAGCCCCAGGCCAAAAAAGCCTTGAGCTGTGAGTGTCTCATTGTGGTAATGATAAAGGTAAAGTCTAAAACGTAATATAAAGGTAGCACAAAGAACAGAAGAGTCAGGAAGTAATGTCAGTTATACAACATTATCTCTCTAATGTTTGGTTACATAAGCCACCATGAGTATAAAATTGAGTAAGGGTGGCCTTTAGAAGGAAGAACTCGTTATTTCCTCTTTCAAAAGCTACAGTCTCACTTTAACACAGACAACTCTTTAGGAGTTTTACTGTGTGTGAAAAACATGGGCCATGAAAAGTCTGACACAGGACCCATCTTCAAGAGAAAAGAGAAATCCCTTTTCTTTCAGATGATAATGCGGTTTAGTACTGCTTACTGAAGTCCACTTGCTATCATATCAAAAGCTCCAGGGCAAGCAAGCAAGTGGACCTTGAGTTGAATTGTTCTGTTCACTGCTGTTTCCAAGGTCAAGAATGAACTGTCGTGATCAGAATAACTTTAAATCAAAATAAATAAAAGTCTCAGATGTACGGTGGCCCTGAGAGCTCAACGCACTGCAACTCGTCTATTTGCGTGTGTTGAGCTCTCAGGGCCACCGTACAAACGAGTATAAAATCACTACAGTTCCATGGCAACTGAGAAAAGTCAATCTGTTAATGAGGTCTGTGTGATGAGGTTGAAAGCTCCAGAAACAAGCTAGTAAGTAGACTTTGTCCACGATCAACTATCAAGTTCAAATTAGAAATAAATTTAAATCACCAACACACATATGAATATGGTGACTTGGTGAGAAGTTCAGCTTGATCTGGTGCATATTCTTTTCTCTAAGTCTTTCCAATCAACCTGCTTTAACCGTAAACATTATCAGACAGGACACTTGACTCGATGTGACAACACAATCCTTTGCCGTGTTTCAGGGAGACGCAGAAGCTAAAGATTAGTGTTTCCCCTCTTCATTTAGACCGGGATAAGTGGCAGTAAAAATCTCAGGGTTAAAGATTCTTTTTATAGCTAATTCAGACAGTGAATCTCCCCCTGGGATTCTGTGTCCTAGGAGGGAACTAAGCTGAAATGACAGCTTTTTACCCACAATGGAGGGATAAAAGGATTTCTTCAAACTAATGTGAATAATTCTGTCAACGTGAAGACTGACTTTTTTTTTTTGAGGTTGTAATGGCACATTGGAAACAAGCGAAGGACAATGTTAATTTCATTTCAGTGAATTCACCGACTGCACAAGGAAGCGCGTTTGATATGATACGCTGAGCACACAACAACAGAATGACCACGTGCTCGCTCGCTGGAATTCTCTCTCGGCAAACACGGGAAAGCAAAAGTGCAATGGCAGTTTATCATTATCATTTCCAGGAGAAGCAGTATTAATATCTCAGCACTCACGCTCCGTTCGCTCTTACTTCTCCTCTAAAATTAAATTAGGAGGCCACTGAAGTGAGAGACAGAGAGCGCAGTGAGGATGAGCGATGGGGGCTTCGCTATCAGATGTAAAAATCAGTAGCCTCACCCCTCCGGTGTTGAAAAATGATGAGCTAAAGTGGGAAATAGGAGTAAAAAAGACGGAGGCTGCCGAGTCGCTTCTGAGTGAAGAGAAAATAGAAAATGTATCCTCAGCAGACGTGGCAGCCACTTTCAAACCACAGCAGCGCCATTGGAAATGTATTAGAGGTGTCATGGCTGTATTTACAGTAGAGGTGGCTGCACTTATCGGAATGGAAACTGTTCATGATGGATTTGACAATAATGCTGCACGAAAAACATTACAAGCATCCAAATTATTACATGACAGTCAAGGAGAATGACTGAATGCAACATTTCAACAAATTTAGCTTTACCCTGAAAACGGCAAGTTATGTAGTGAGGCAAATGAAAAGAAAAGAGGCAGATATATTTTTTATAGAATAATACATTTAGTCGTGAGAAACCCGTCAGAAAATATTCAGTATAATCCCTGATGTGTCAGCAGCCAGGAGCAGCCTTCAGAAGAAGCACTGCTTGACTAAATACCTATCCACAGTTATCTCATTCTGTGAAGTTTCCATGGCAGGCGCTGTCAGAATGCCTTGGTCTTGCTATGGATACAAAGCTTTGTGATATATGACAGGCTATCAGAGAGACAGAGAAATAGACAAGGAAAATAAAATGAGATACATATTTCTGTGAGTTGACCTCCTTTCTATCTATCCATCAACATATCTATAAGTATCTGTCTCAATATCCGTCATCATATTTGCATGTGACACCCACTTTGCACCTGTAAAAATGTTCCAAGCTCGCGGACATTCAGGAACTGTTTGCTTTTACAAGATGACGATGACGAAGATGATGATGATGTGAGAGGATGAAGGAAAAAGGAAGGACCAAGGTGAACATCAGCTTTTATACATAGATACATATTGAATCTATGCAGCTCTTTAACTGTATTGCTGTATGTCTTTCACAGTCTTGCTGGTTCTACCATTCATACATAATGAAATTGTTTTAACCTGCTTACCAGGACATGATGACACACACACACACACACACACACACACACACACTTCCAGTAAATAATGGATGTGCTCTTATTAGTGTGTACATGGGCCTGGAAATAATAAACCACCAGTGCTGGTTAATAAGGGAACACACTGTATGGTTTTGAAGACTAAATAAATGCACGCCATCTTTCATAAGCTCAACTTATTTGATTGTTTGTGTATTTGCACAATACCAAACAGAAAATAAAATATCAAACTTAAGAGCAAAATTATGACAAAGGAAGAGATAAGCTACATGAGCCACACTGTTTCTTTTGGGGAGTAAAAAACAAATTTAAACAAAAAACATCCTCAGACACCAGTCACACAATCATCTGTGTAAACTCAATATTACAGGATTTGGCATTATAGATGTATGTTTAAAATAGTACTTGCAGATGGGAATGAGGAATTCATCAAAACCCTTTCAGGTAATGTCAGTTGGTTGGTCCATGACTTTGGTCCAGGATGAAATATTTGATCAACTATTGTATAAATTGCCATGAAATGTTGCACAGACATTCATGGCTCTCAGAGAATGAAGACGTAGTTGTAGTAAATTTCATGACCCTCTGACCTTTCCTATAGTGTCACCAACAGACTGATATTTTTTGTCTTATAATAAAATATATCAACAACAACTGAATGGATTGCCATGAGATTTGGTGCAAAGATGATGAAGATGAAACATCATGATGAATCCCAATAACTTGAACGAACCCTGACTTTTCTTTTGCACCATCAGCACGTCATACATTTTACGTATCCTGGGAAATGGATGGATTGTGATGAGATCACAGACTTTCCTTGTTCCAAGATGATGAATTGTTATATTCCACCCACAGGTGGATGTAACTTTGTGTTGTGTGTAAAGTGTTTGTTTACCGTGCTGCTCTGGATCCTCCCTCCTCATGTTATTGGTTGCACCTAGTCTAGATATCTAGTCTAGCCCCGTTAATTCACCTGGAGTATGAAAAGGACTGAGAAGCTACACTTCCCTCTGTCTCCGCTGCATGCTGCTGGTTGCCTGCCTGTATGTATATGTGTGATAAAAAAGCTACATTTTTCAGTACAATATCTGTGCCAGCTTTAACTGGAGACTTTTTGTTTGTTAAACTTCAGTTACCGGTTACTGGTTGTTTGATTTGATCTGTAGTTTGGAAACCTTTCAAAAAAGCCCTGTAGGGTAGAGCTGCCATTTGGTTTCAACCCTTTTTTTTCTCTGGTTTTGAGTGTGTTGGAGAGTTTAGTATTGTAACCTTTTCTCTTGTGTCAGTTTCAGTATTGTGGTTTTGTTCCTAGTTAGAGCTGTTATGTTTGTTATTTTGGCCTCGGCTCTGCCTGAAGTTAAATTGTGCTTCACGCTCTGGCAATAAAAGCTCGAGAACCTGGACAAAATGACTCAAGTCTCTCATCTATGCTGCTCCCTTTTTGCCGAGACCAGCTTGGGGGTCAAAACATGAATCCTAATGATGGTGGTGATCCCTTCACTTTTCCTCTAGCGCCACCATGAGGCTGACATTTATTTTTTTGAAATATCACAACAACAACAACAGAATGGATTATGCACATTCATGTAACCCTCAGGATGCCATGTAATAACTTCAGTAAACCTCTGACTCGCACCATGACCAGGGCAAACTTTTTCCTTTGTACCTTGCAAAACTAATGACATTCCCATCAGCCTCAGCTGTGCTTTGTGTTCAGTGCTAATCAGCAAATGTTAGCGTGCTAACTCGCTACACTATGAGTGCAAATGCTAAACTAAACTATGATAGTGAACATGATAAATATTACACCTGCTAAATATCAGCATGCTGCTTTGTTACTGTTAGCATGTTAGCATACTGAAATTGTATTGCTCTGTATATGCTGCTGAAAACTTTACGTACGTAGAGCAACTTTCTCGTAATGGAGAGAGAGAGAGAATAAACATGTTCATGCTGTTTTTTATTTAGTTTGGATGCATCCGTCTTCATAAGCACCCTGTGCCTCTGGATACTAATGGATATTTAAAGCTATTATGAGTTATTAGGCAGTTAACAGAGGCTGGGATCACAACAGTCAGTGGACGCTGTGTCTTACAGCTCTGTATCCTTCTTGTTTGGGTGTGCGTGTTGAGCAACTTTTTAGTTTTTGCCCTTTTGAAGTGACATTTCGCTAATTTGTGATTAAAGGGAAGTTGACTCTCACCCATTTACAGCCTTTCAGGGGTCCTTCTAAGCACCACAGCTGAGCAGCACTCAGTCCATAGTCGACTGCTTCAGCGAGAGTTTAAATTGATATAATGGACCCAACATGAACCTTTTAGCACTACATTACAATATTGCCGGCAACGCACCCTGTGGTGAGAGTCTTTACATGTTCAAGAATTTTATTATCATAAAACTGCTCCTGCTGCTGATAAGAATAGATTTAGAAAGGTGTGTTTTTCTGCAGGCAGTTCTGCACACACATTATTCTGTTACCATTTACTTTCTTTAGCAGCACAGCATGCATGGTATCTCAAACGCCTTTAAAAGAAGTTTAGCAGTGAAAGATAAGTGAAGATGTCATTACGGTATCTTTAAGCTCTAAAATGACGGGAGAAATGGTGCCAGTCTGATCAAATGATGGCAGCCTGCCTGTTAATTACATAGCTGATCAAAAATGAAAAGTAAACAAAGTACCCAAGCTGTTATGATGAGCTGCTAACCTTGATGTGTCATATTAATTACAATGTTATAAATAATTGATAGCCAGTGCTGTTTTTCTCCGCGGTGAACGTGAGAGTTTATGCCACAGAGACCAGAGCATGGTCTCCTCCAGAATAAATAAACAATCAGCAATAACAAATTATATATATAATTAATTACCAGAAGCAAAGGCTGATTTACCTTGAGAGAGGACCCACTGATTGAGTTTGACGTGGTACAACACAGAGCGGAGACTCCAGTGCTGAACAAGGGGGTAGCCAGACACCTCGCTGTAGTTCACCATACCTGCATTAACACACACACAAAAAAAAACAAACACCTTTATTAACATGGATGCAGTCCTTGGTGCCAGATTAAAGGGTGGCTCAGGGTGCCTCACCACCACACCTGTAAATGGTAATGGTAACATTAATGCAATATTGACTCCTCCATATTGCAGGGGAGATTGCAGTCTTCAGTGCCAGATCAAAGGGGTGGCCCTACATTTCATTCTTGTTTACTTTACCTGAAGAATCAGGAAGAATACTTAATAAATATTAATATCATATTAGATGACAGGAGAGAGAGGCAAGCAAAGTCTCCGATGTTAGATCAAAGTGGAGCCTGATCTGCAGCTCACCCTCCACCAGAAAAACACAGGGAATGGTAACATTAACATAAAATCTATTCAGAAGTAGTGATACAGTAGAGGGCAGGCTGGAGACTCTCACTTAAATATACAGCACATTCATATTAAACAAGAGTATTTTCATATCAATCGCACACTATAGATCCCTCCAACTTTTCCCTCTTACGGCTCATTCGTGCTCCCTTTTTCCTATGAAAACAGACGTGTCCGCTTCAAACGTTTGCGTTGGCATAGCAACGAACCACTATAGGGGCAGCTCAGAGTCAAAAATTTCTGACGACAAACATGGCGATGGCGGAGGAGGCCGTAATAATGTTCCTCTCAGGCAGCGTTGGTCCGTGAGGTTCAGCCATTTGTAAAATTTCTTTGTTGTACTTTTATTGCCAAATTTCAGTTTTCCATTTTTCAGAAAACGTGCATAAAATACGGATGAAATGGGCGCAGAGCACAGACAGAGGGTTCCTTCAGTATCTGTATATGTATCCACCTCACACCTGTACATCCATTATTTGTTTAATGTGAATCTATATCATTTTTTTTCTTGTACTGATTTCTATAAAGGGATTAAAGTATCATCCAGGTACACGCCAACCTTTTGGTTTTAGTTATTTGTTATTTTTACCTGCGTTTTGATTTACTTCACTGGTCCTCAGTTGCTTCTGTATCATTTAGTTTGGCTCAGATCCATTACTTTTGGTTATAACTGTGTCTCAAAGAAGGCTTGGATGGGAAAGACTAGTACGCCATCATATTGTTTGAATGGACCTTGAAGTAACACAATAAAAAAAGAATTTCAAAAGAATTGTATCAAAGCGAAAAAACTATTTCCATTAATAAGTATAAAGTTTCTGAAGATTTGATGAAAATTTAGTTTTTGAAATTTTAGTGTCACCTATCATGTCTAATAAAAATAAAAATAAAAAGTAATCATGACCCTTAGTACTTCATAATCATTTCAATGACTTTCTAGAATCTGTATTTATTCACATTTATACTAATTAGCAGAGTAACTGCCATGATCACAGAGAGCATGTGGTGATCAGAGAGGGGACAAGCTGTGAAACAAGCAAAACAACACGTAAACTCTTCATTCAGGAGCTACAACCTACAACAAAAGGGAAAATATTCTGTAATTTTTCACCTGAAAAATGTTCCTCTTTGACAATTGGTGCGGCAACATTTATTCATAATTAAAAATAATTAAACTGTTGTCACAACCTAGACTCCATCAGACACAACAATTTCTGTTCAGAGAAAAAAAGCTGCTTAGCCAAAAAGTCAATAAGGCTGAATCTAATTATTATTTTACTTGATTATTTGTTCAAATGCAGTCTCAGATGCATCAGAAAACAGTGAAAAATGTCCAATACAATGCTGTCAGCCCAAGGTCAAACTGCTTGTTTTGTCTGCCCAACATCAAAACACAAAAGTATAATGATACAAAGCTGAAAGAGTGGAAAAGTTAGATGCTTGACACACTGGATATTATATTTTCCATTTCTTATTGATGAATGGTGAATAATAAAAATTGTTGGTGATTAATTTTCTGTCACCCAGATTTGGATAAAGGTTGATAAAATACTTCCTCAAAGCTCCAAGGCTAAACAATCTTTCATCAAATCTTTTGTCTCTCCTCACTCTTCATATGACGAATGTGCCAAACACTCTCGTGTCAGGCTTCTCATTTTTAGCCTGCACTCTTTTTGGAAATTAAAAATGAAAATATTACCAGAAGCAGATTATGTTGACTGTAGTTGGTCAACATTAATGCTGGGAGTAATTTTGCCAAAAGGTCAAAAATAAAGCTTTCAAACCGGACGCAGTCTGGTGTCTGCTATTGGCAAAACTCATTTTTAAGGTGAAAGAAGGGCCATGACGTCGCATCATTATACGATCAGAGGCGGAGGGTGCGGTGCAACAAGATCAGCAGAGAGGCAACTCTTTTCTAGTTAAATTATTCATTCTGCATAATGTCATTTGACATGTCAGGAGTGTAAATCTCCCAGTTAAATGTCCATGCATGTCATGTCAGGAGTTTGAGCTTATCAAGTTAAAACTTCTGCATTGGCAGAATGTCAAGTAAGCTTGTGAAAAATATGGTGTAGATCAGCAGGTCACTCTTATTGTCTTAGATATATTTAAATGGGGCTATAATCATATTCCACATATCCACATTTTCTACATCACATTCAATGTCCAATTTGGAATTTGGCTGGAAATCAGTTTCACTGTATATCTATGTATTCTGTAAGATTTAACACACCACTATAACACTTCAGCGTAGCTATATCTAACACTGCCAGCATATTATTCAAGTTGCTTTAAAACAGTGTTTCTTTACAGCTCTGTATATTATCTTTATTGATTTTGTCTCACTTATCAATCCTTCCCCTGCTGAAATCAATAGCGCTAGAAGACGTCCGCCATTTACAGATGTTTTTCCATTTTGATGCACTGCATGGATCATCAAACGTTATGCATGCATGCTGCTCCACTGACTGATGACCTGTCATCTTATCTATGGCAACAAATAGTCAGTGGGAAATAAAACACAGCATACATGAAACAGCAATAGGACACGATGAAGAGGGAAACATTTATCTGTCACTGCAGTGGGAAACACCCAAGTTAGTGTCAAAGGACCAATCAGCTTCTATTTCAAAATATCAATTATACATTTACTTATTACGGAACATGACTTGGAGGGAATAAATAATCTCAATCTCTTCTCCTGTGGTGATAGCTACAAATATCAGTATTTTTATATTTATATTAAAATATTTTTTTCATTATTAACTTTTTATTTCGGAATAAACTTTCTGTCTGTAATATTTCAATCTGTGGCAGGACCTCTCTGTTTTTGCATAAGAGTGCAGGATCAGGGCTTTAACATTAACATCACTTATATCGGCCATAAACAGAGGTGCAGAATATAAATCATCTTGTCTCCCATGGCAACTGACGGCTATGTCATGCTGCACCGGTGGGATTACAGCCATATATCACTGTGACTGCTCCCACCGTGTTCACAAGCACATCCAGAAGGTATCTGGATAATGCTGGTGACTGAGACATGTTTCCTGCAACCACAGAAATGGAAGAGGGGGGAGGGGGGAGAGAGACAGAGGGAGGGAAATGAGAAGGAGTGTGTGGGAGAAAGCGATAGCTGGAGATTTGGTTGAGCGTATGAGAGATAAATTGAGACATGAGAAGAAGACAATATAAAAGGCGAGGGCAGCCTAAGGTGTATCTACTATATGAATAGGGAGAAGGAAAATGATAGAATGTGGATAAAGAAGAGCATCACTGTCATCTCCAGTGAAGGGCGGTGGTTTGTGTACACTCTGCAGATAAGAAACCAACATGGAGAATTTGTGATACACATACAGAACTCAAGACTGTCGGGGACACTGTCACAGTCTTTCACCTTCCACAGGCAACCCGGGGTCCTAGAAATTCCGTTCATACATTACTAAATTATTTTCCCAATTACGTTGTGGTGGCTGTATTCGCTGGCTGCATGCCAGGAGGTGGTCGGGGTGGACAACTGTCACACCAGAGCCTGTGGTTTGCCATCAGTGTCCTGTATGGAATTAGAAACAGTAGTCCTAGTTTTGTAATTAAAATGAGCAAATTGTAACAGTGACAGGATGTTAATACCGAAGCAATTGAATGCGGGCCTTTGGAATAAAGAAGGAATAAAGATGCAGTAGCTGGCAAATAAAAAAACAGGTTTTTAGATGTAAAATGAATCAATTTCTGGGTTATTTGGAGACGAACTATAGGATATCTTTAATATTTGTTTCCTAGAGAAGTGTCTATGCATCAGTGTGTATTGCACTGGATATCTATACGGCAGTTTTGTATTGTATGTCTTAACATGCTATACCATTCAGTACTGTGGAAAGGACAGTGATTATCCACAGACACAGTTTCCATCTTATGCAGGGTGCTTTGTCAAGACATGTTACAGACAAGACAAGAGGCTAATGGTTGTGTACAGTGTTGGAAAATTAAATTAAACAATGGCATAGGTTAATATGTCACTTGTTTACAATTGTATATTAGTTGTGGGTGTTCTGCTTACATTCTGTCAGCAATTACAGTAAAAGCTTAGAGATAAATATATCACTGTGTGAACACACACAGTAGTGGGTAAACACTATAGCATGGTTTCATATTGAGACAGCGGTTTTTGTCTGATGCCAGTTGGTCATATGAAAGCAATAACCAAACATGAAAACTTAACGACTCTCTAAACTGCTTGTAAAATCATAAAGAGCTGCAAGTTAACAAAGATACTGTAAAATAAAATCCATGTCTTGTATGCAGTACAATTACTATGAACAATAATGGATGTTTTAAGTCTATATTCATATTTATAATGTCTATTTATTATGACCACTTTTATGACTATTGTATTCTTTATTCATCACTATTTTGATGCTACCATAAGGAGGGGAGCCCCTTTTAATTATGGAATCTGTGATATTGCTGTAATCTGTTCATCTACCTGTTAAGAAGTTTGTCCCTCACATTCAAACATAGGTGTTCATTACGTAAATGTTGTGCTATGGTTTCATTCTGATATAACAGAACCATATTTAGCTCCTCAACACTTGTGCATTATTTGGGACCTGGAACACATGAGAGACCC